CGCCCGACTGCGGCATGCATTTTATTTATTTACCTTTCGAGGCGTCGCTCCAGACACCCGATCGGTTATCAGTTATTTATTTTATTTATCACGTCCTGAAATGTTACCGTTGTTATATGAGCATCATCCTTTATTCATGACGTTTTCATGCATTCATTGATTATATCTTTTGTCCGAACTGTCTTGCGAGTACTTTCAAGTACTCACCTGGCTTGTTGATTTGGCCAGATGTTGATGAAGGCGACCTCATGGATGAAGAGTTTGATAGCGAGTCCGACGCCTAGAGGAGTCCCAGTCAGTCCCGTGCGATCCTGTCTTGGTCATTGTATTATCCGCTTCCGCAACCCCGAAATAAATTCATCGAGCCTCACCTCGACGCTTGATGTGCTGCCAGTAGAAGTCAAGTTATCCACCACCACTTTTCCTCGAGCTAGTAGCATGCCACCACACCCCTGTGTCATAACCGCCCATATGTAAAGATATTGGCGAGTTATAATAAATTGTTGAGCAGCCTCAGCTCAACCCAGTAATATATTTGATGCTACTGGTTCTCTGTTTATCAAGCTTTTGTCTACCAGAAAGGATGACTTTTCCTATACTGGGTTTAAAAGATCGGTTTTATCAATAAACATTTTATTGAAAAGCCGGTCGTGACAAGAGCCATGTCGCTCCGTGAAGTCGCTTGTAAGCACGTGATTTTTTCCCGACGTCTCAAAGTCCTATGTGTTTCTCGTTCATTTTTGTTTTCGGTATCGACCTACACACACTCATGCCAATCTAGATAATTGGACATGGCGTCAAAAGTTTGATGAGTGTTGTCCATGCCTGATTGAACCAAGGATGGCGCTTGTGCTGGCATCTGCAGTATATATATGCATCGGGAAGGAACCCAACTAAACCCGGGCATGGACAGCCCGGCCCGAGCCCGGCCTGAAAAACCCGGGCCGGGCTTGACGTTCGGGCCGGGCTCGGGCCTTGTTTTGCAGCCCAAAAGATAGTTTGGGCCGGGCTCGGGCTTCACTTTTCATGTATTTCGGACCGGGCTTTCGGGCTTCGGGCCGGGCTTGCACGTGCGTATACTGAAAAATAGCGTTTGGGCCGGACTTTCGGGCTTCGGGCTTCATTTCGGGCCGGGCTCGGGCTTGAAAACAAGGAGTATTTCAGGCTTCGGGCCGGGCTCGGGCTTGAGAAATGAAGGTCGGGCTTTTACAAGCCCGGCCTGAAACCCGGCCTGGCCCGGCGTTTGCGCGGGTTTAAACCCAACCAACATTAGCCAAGGGTTGGCAGGCCATTCATTACCGGCAACTTAAACGCATATCCTGCACACATGTACATCATCTTGAGGGAGTTATTGATTGATCTTCTTTCTGATTCTCTTCCATGTTTTTCAAGTGCTTTCCTGAAAAATCATATGCTGATATGAACTACATTGCTCCAAATATGTTATTTCCGCGTAGATGGGCAAACTCTGCACTTTTTTCTCAAAGAAACTCACATCACCCATTTTGGTACTGCCAATCAAAATCCTCCTATTATAGCAGAATTCCTGGGTGCACCACTCCTGCAGCCAACCCAACTAACACATGGCTGCATCCTAAAAGTTTTTTTTTTCGAAAAGAAGGATGACCCCCGGCCTCTGCATCTGGGAGATGCATACAGTCATTTTATTGATTATTCTTGAGGACCTTACAAATTATAACAACAATATGCCTGAATCCGCCATCTTGGCAGCATCTGCCGCTACTCCTGTCCAAATGATGAAGTGGTGCAAGCTGGGCCACATACCCATACCTCTCACCTAAGCCTAACATCTAAAGCCGGAGGCCCCGACCGAACCATCTGCCGTGTCCGGGGCTCAAACCGGTCTGACGCACTCATATGTGTCGTCGCCGCCATCTTCCACTGGTCCATCTTCAGAGCAGATTGAGGTGACAACCTTGGCAGGTCCTCCGCCATTGACGCCACCATGACGCCAAACGACGACCTCCACCTACGCGAGCCTTGGCAGGTCCTCCGCCATTGATGCCACCACGACTCCAGTCGCCGACGACCTCCACCTATACGACTCCATCTCCAAGCAACGGACGTAAATCCATGCTAGGAAAGGGCCGCACCACCGTTGTCGCCCACCACCCACAAGCGCCACCCAACCCCAAGGTTCCCAAAGCGGCGCCTTCAAGAAGGGAACGTCGTCGTGAGTGCCGCTGCCGCCCGACCGAGTCAGGGCTTTCGCCTGGGAAACCTAGGGGAAGGTGAAGTGAGGAGATCAATCCATACCGACGCCTCCAAGGAGGGAAACGACGCCCCCAGGCGTCGCCGTCGGCGCGGCCGGTCATGGCCGGCCAGGAATTTCGCCCGAACTAGATCTCCGCCACCACCAGCAGCTCCTGTATAGAACCGACGACCAAGATGAAGCGCGGCTCGACCAGACTGGCCCGCACGCCGAACAGGGGAGAAACGGACGCGCCAGATCGCGCACACCGACCACTGGAGATCCCGCCGCCGGCCGCCAACGACCATCGGATCCCGCCGCCCGCGCGGCCGGGACACCGGATCCACCACCCGCACGGTTGTTAGCCGACCGTGCCTTGCCAATGGAGCCGCCGCTCCAGATCCTGGGTTCCCCACATAGGAGCAGGGCAACCGAGGCCCCGCCGCCACCATCCTTGGCGCCCCGGGCTTGCCCGACGGCTGCCTCAGGTGGCGACAAGGGAGGGAGGAGGGGAGGGGTGAGGAGAAGGGGCGGCTAGGGTTGGGAGGAGGGGCAGCTATGACAAAAACTTCTTTCACAAATATTAAAAAAATAAAAAAAATAAAAAAACAATTGGTGCATGTTACTTACTTTTCTTTCCTCTTAGAAAAAACAATCGGCGCAATCGCAAAAAAAGGAACTTCCTTGGAGCAATTTTCATTTTTTTTTAAAACGGAGGTAAAAGCTTTGCCTCATCCATCAATTAAGATAGAAAAGAGTTTTTTACAGGACTGCAGAACGTGGCAAACAACTGAACTGCATAGTGCCAATTTGCTAACTGTCAAAACCCACCTAGCGGTGTTGGGCCAGGTTCACTCTAGAGCTAGCAACAACACTGGTTTCTATCCTATCGTACAGTGAGCATCAACGCAACGGTCCTAGGCCATCACAGGAGCAGGCACATCGACAGCTAGTACCCATTTGAAACAGAGAAGGGAAAGCATGTAGGCAATAATACGTCACAGTTTGGGTACACAAAATCTCGGCGAAACTGATGCCAATGAACAAGCTGTACAAGAAATATAAAACGATAAATAGGCCATCTCAACAACAATGATGACAACAAAAACACCCACACCCACACCCAACAAGTAGCATGGCATGCTGAGCACAATCTCAATCTGACGATAAACACTGCACAACGTCAGTCAGCAACAACGACCCCCATTTGAGAAGTCCGGGGAAATGCATGATGTGCATGGTAAGATCATCATAAGCATCCCCTTGAGTTCCCACGTCTCTGGATGCGGACATAGCTTAGAGGAGCCTGCGCCTGCAACAAATTCAAATTCAAATTCTTAGCGAAATGATTCTGTAACTACATTTCTTCTAGTTGTAAATTCTGTTATAGGAAGTGACAGACCTTCTCTCTTGCTCAGGTGTTCAGTGACAATGCGGTCTTCCTTGGAGTTTGGCTTCAGATGTTGTGCCTGAATAAGCAAGTGCGAGTTCCAACACAGCCTTTCCGCCATCTTTTTTTGATCTAATAATGTGTATAGAAAAATATCATATGTATTTACTTATGTCGAGAAAAGCTTGGTTGCATTTGTGCCAGCCATATGCAATCTTGTCTACTAGGGATCCAGTACGAAACTGCTTTACTGCATGGTCCTGCTGGTTCAAGATACTGATACTCCATCTGTTTCTTTACTCTGCATATTAGGCCTCGCTACGACAAGCCTGACGTAAGACTACATTGGCGTGGTTAGAGCTTTGGTGTAAGAACAGGCCGCGAAGAGTACAAGCGGGCAGAGCCGATACAAGACCTCCCGTGGTTCCCGGTGCTCTAGCTCCACAAAGTCGCCCCCTGTAAGGGCGTCATTTTTTCCCGACGCCTCGCAGTTCTATGTGTGTCTCATTCTTTTTCGCTTTTGCTATCGACCTACACACGCTTATGCGGTTATGCCAATGCAAGGAGTTGTACATGGTGTCAAAGTTTGGCGAGTGTTACCTGAATGAACGGTGGCGCTTGTGCTGCCATCTATATATATATATATATACATGAGGAGGATGTAACTCAATCAACATCAGCCGAGGGTTGGCGTGCCATTCATTACCGGCGACTTAAACACATAGTATCATGCACGCACGTGAGATCTTACTACTCTACTTTACTATCCATCTTAGTAAGTTATTGATCGTTCTTCTTTCCTGGTGCTCTTCCATATTTCCAAGTGCTTTCCGGAAAATACATGTGCTATATATAAGCCACATTGCTCCAAATTTGTTGTTTCCACATATATGGTAAACTGTACATTTTTCTCCAAAGAAACTTACAGCACCACTGGATACTGCCAATCAGAATCCTCATAATATACAACACAAGGCACTTTGTTTCCTTGGTTCGTCACTCTTGCTGCCAGCCGAGCCGAACAACACATGGCTGTATCCTTCGGTCTCTCTTCTGAATCAGATAATATAAACCAGCGACACGAGAAACATAAGCCGGCATAGAGGTGCCAAACCTTCCCGTCGTCGATGGAGCAGAAAGAAAGAATCCGTCCGCAGTTTATTGTCTTAATTTTTATTCTTATTCTATATGAATACTATAGATTCTATCACTTCTTTTCCTTTCCTCTTGGGAAAAAAACAGTTGGCGCAATCACAGAGGAACTTCCTTGGAGCAAATCTGATTTTGCAGAATGTGGTAAACTACTGAACTGCATAGTGCCAATTTGCTAACTACAAATGCATTACAAAATCCACCTTGTAGAGTTGGGCTAGGTTCGCTCCTAGGGCTAGCAACAATTTATGTTCTATCATCAGTGAGCACCAATGGAACACTGCTAGCCCACAGAATCAGGCATAGCCAGTATCCATCTCTAAACAGAGAAGGGAAAACATCACAGTTTGGATCAGTTGACAGCACAAAATCTTGGCGAAACAGATACCAATGAGCAAGTTGTAAAAAATATATAAAATCGATAAATATACCATCTCAATAACTAATGACGACAACAAACACCCACACCCAACAAGTAGCATGCCTTGATGAGCACAATCTCAATCTGACTTTAAAACAGTACACAACGCCAGTCAGCAACAATACCTGCTATTTGAGAAGTCCGGGCAAATGATTGATGCATATCGTAAGACTATCATTATCATCCCCTTCCCGAGTTCCCACGTCTCTGGCTGTGGAAGTAGCTGAGAAGAGCCTGCGCCTGCAGCAAATTCAAATTCTTAGCGAAATGATTCTGCAACTACATTTCTTCTAGCTGTAAATTTTGTTATCGTAAGTGGAAAACCTTCTCTCTTGCTCGCGATGTTCCTGACCGTGACAGTGTGACTAAAGGGGGCAAAACACCCTCTTGAAGAACTATGCTGCAAGATCTGTTGTTGTTTTTGCATAGCTGAAGCAATGCCGCAACAGCATTTTCCTCCCCCCTCGCCGAACCCAGTTCGACAACATCAACAAGGGCTGGAATACCACGCGCCTGCCCAATCGCAGTCCTCCCTTCTGCTATCAAAGCAAGATTTGCCAAGACAACTACAGCTTTGTCGACCATTCCAGCAGCAGGATCCATAAGCTTAACTAGGTGCTTCACCGCATCAGCTTGCACAATGCGACCCTTGTTCTCATCAAGTATGGATAAATTAAACAGTGCATGGGCTGCATCTTTTTTTCCTCGCGGGGTCCCATTTCGCAGCAAGTCCACGAGAGACTTGATGGCACCAGATCGTCCAACACTCACTTTGTTTTCTTCAGTAATACAGAGACTGAACAAAGTAGCTGCTGAATTCTCTTTAGCTTCAGGGTTCCCTGTTTCCAGGACATGGATGAGAGGATCAATAGCATATGCATTCACGATGGCAATCTTATTGTTATCACTGATGGACAGATTGAGGAGGGATGTCACTGCATTTTCTTGGATCTTGGCATCTGGTGAATGAAGAAGACCAACTAGCAAGTTTATAGCCCCACAATCTGCAATGACAATCCTGTTCTCCATAGTTGTGCTTAGCTAGAAGGCGAATCTCTGATGTCGCTGATCTTTGACATTCTATGGAATCGCTTCTCAAATCATCGATTAGCTTGCGCACCTGATTCTCAATGGCAGAAAGATCACCCTGAGAATCCATGGACGAGGAAGATATTATTCTAGGAAATCCCCTATCAGATGCTTGTGGGCGAATAAATTGCTCTCTCATGCCGACATCACCCAATTTTGGCAGGATAAGCCAAAGTGTGCTTATCCTAGCACACTTTGTGCGCAGGGTGTTATCCATGTAGACGTTAAAGCAGTGACGAATGTCAAGGAACTCCAGGTGGCAGCAATTATCCAGGATAGTTGTCAGTCCTTTATTTGTCAGGTCATTGCCAAACAGCTGCAAAGAGCGTAGCCCACGCATGGTTGCAATCCCCATGGCTTCATCATCCTTGTCGTAGTCACTAGCTTCAGAATCATACAACACATCCTTAATCAGTCTGAAGCTCTTCAGTTGTGGGCATGCTTTGCCAACAACCCCCAACACGCCACTCTCACCCACATTTGAACACAATGCAAGCTCGAGCTCCTCAAGCAAAGGGAATTTCACTATCGCCTCCATAAGTGCTTCATCACTAAATTTATAGCATGAAATGAGGCGAAGACTCTTGAGAGATGGTGCCCTGCAAATATAGCACTTGGATCTCAATACCCAACAAAAGTATTATAGAAAAGACATAAGCACACTGAATAAAAAAACAGGTAGCTAGAATGTATGTTCTGGCAGACTTGCATAGCCCGAATAGAACATTTCATAAATTCAGATAACTGTGTAGCATCATAGGACATTGGTACATACATAATTTAAAGGGGTTTACTGAGAATTCACTATATTTGAGAGAAGTTTCAGGGATGCTAAATTGTTGATGCCTGCAATTGCAGGTTGCAGATTAGGATAAATTCTGTGATTTAGGCAATGTCAGAATTATCCTATTATTGGAAACTTTCTGTGATTTAGCCATCCATCCACAAGTGCTCCTATTAAGCCAGTCATCCCTTCTCCCTTGCCAATTAAGCATTACTAAATTTTACAAAGCTGCAGAGAACCTGAAGTTAGTATGGATAGGGATAAGTTTTCTCTTGCGCATTTTGTCTTTATCAAACTAAGAATAGTCACTGCCCTTGATGAAATATACATAAATTTAAAGAAAACGCTAATTCTAGTGTTAGTTTAGACTCAGCACTTCGTATTTGTTGTTTGCTTGTGTTCGTGGTCTTTGTAAGCTGTTCTCCTCAGCACTTTGTACCCATAGTTCAGCAAAATTGCATGATCACAAACAAAAAGCCCACAGAACTTTCCCACAGTGAATAAACGAAACCCAAAGGTACGCATACGTGGTAAATTGCAAGGAATTGGAACGGAAACAGAACGTGTAGCCAATGCGAAAGCGAAACAAATCAAAACGAAATCCCCTAAAATTGATGGTTAGGGGGGTCTCACTGGTCGGCGAGGCGGAGGAGGAAGTCGTGGTCGCCGGCATGCTAGCACCAGAACGCCTCACATCTCCCCGCGCTGCGGCGGACGGCGGCCTGCGCCATCCCGTGGAGGTTGAGCCTGCGGGAGAGATCGGCGTGGCCTAGCATGTTGATGCGGCGCCACAGCTCGGGCTCGTCGCGGGCGGCGGCGCGCCAGGAGCGGCACGCCTGGCCGGGCCCCATCAGGATGTCGACGTGGTCAAGCTTGTGGAGGATCGATGAGATCGCGTCCAGCGGCAGCTCCGCCCAGTTCCTCGTCTCCGCCTCCGCCGACACGAACGAGGAGGAAGAGGACATCGCGCACGCGCTAGGTGGGTTGCGACCCTTCGCGGCGAGGAAGCTGAGGTCAGCTGCGCCGCCTTGCAGTCGAGGAGGACCGCGCGCTCGACGCCGGCCAGCAGTCGCCGTCTCGCCGGAGCCCGCCGTGTACAAGCGGGTTTTGCAGTTCGAGGGAAACGGAATGGGAGTTTACAGGAGGAATTTGTTGAGAGAAAAGAATTGAGAAGAAGGGAACTAGTATCAGTCCCCGTCACACATAGGCTGTGTTGGGAGTTGCTTGTGGGGATTTGACAGCCCCTGGTATGCAATGTCACAGTCACACCGAACAAATGAAAAACGGAAAATAGATCAGGGAAATGTATCTTGAATTAGGTTTTGGTCTCACTTTATAAATAAAGTCACGTGATCGAACGATACAAGGTGATGAGAAAACCCTCCCGCAAACCATAACAAAGATAGCAACAGTCAAAATGGTTATTTGCCGTGGTTAGCCCCAACTGGCTGGCATCTCTTTATATTGATAGATCAACTTATACAACAAAAAAATACAATGGTATACAACATGTACACTTATACAAAAAAAATACAACTCTAACACTCCCCCTCAATCTAAACCATCATGAACAAGGTTTAGATTAGAACGGAATCGACAAAGTGTGAGTTGAGTAGTAGGCTTCGTGAACACGTCAGCCAACTGATCACCAGTGGAGATAAACCGAACATCAAGGGCACCCAAGGCAACCTGCTCACGCACAAAGTGGAAATCAACCTCGATATGCTTCGTGCGGGCGTGAAAAACTGGATTGGCAGATAAGTATGTGGCTCCAATGTTGTCACACCACAAAACAGGAGGTTGGCAAAGAAACACACCAAGCTCCTTCAACACCGACTGTATCCATATGGCCTCAGCGTGCCATTTGCCAAAGCCTTGTACTCTGCCTCTGTACTAGAGCGAGAAACCGTGGGTTGCTTTCGAGAACTCCAGGATAACAGATTGGGTCCAAGAAAAATGGCAAAACCACCCGTGGAACGACGATCATCAGAATAGCCCACCCAATCTGCATCAGTGAAGATACCCAGTCCGTAGATGCTGAGCGCCGGAAATGCAAGCCAGTAGACACGGTGCCTTGGATATATCGAAGGATGCGCTTCACTGCCTCATAGTGAGCGGTAGTAGGCTGCGACAAGTACTGGCACACCTTGTTGACAGCAAATGATAGGTCAGGACGCGTCAGGGTGAGATACTGTAGACCCCCAACAAGACTCATGTACTTGAAAGTATCCTCAGAGCTCAGCGGTTCACCTTGATCTCGAGACAATTTGTTGGAAGTAGACATAAGGGAGTAGTAACGGGCCGACATTGCTCCATGTTGGCCTGGTGCAAGAGATCAAGAGCATATTTGTGTTGCGTCAACACCATACCCTCAGAATTATAAGCAGCCTCAATACCAAGGAAATACTCCAGGCGCCCAAGGTCCTTGATAGGAAAAGAACCAGAAAGAGTGGCAACCAACTTCTCAACAGCAAATGAAGAGGATCCAGCCAAGACGATGTCATCAACATAGACAAGCATATATATGACAATTCCCTGATGATCGAAGATGAACAGAGAGGTATCTGCCTTGCTAGCAAAAAAACTGAGCTGATGAAGCTTGTCACTGAAGCGTGCATACCAGGCACGAGGTGACTGTTTGAGACCATAGAGAGCACGCTGCAGTTTGCAAACATAATGAGGGGACCGCGAATTCTCAAAACCAGGAGGCTGTTGCATCTACACTTCCTCAAAAAGAAAACCATGAAGGAAGGCATTACTCACATCAATCTGACGAAGGCACCAACCACGAGAGATAGCAAGAGAAAGCACCAGGCGGACTGTGACTGGTTTAACCACAGGGCTGAAAGTATCATGATAATCTATGCCGTACTACTGTGTGAAACCTTGAGCCACAATCCTCGCCTTGTATTTATCAATTGAACCATTAGGACGGAACTTCATTTTGAAGATCCACTTGCCAACAATGTTAGTGCCAGGTGGACGAGGTACCAATATCCATGTCTTGTTCGCCTGAAGAGCCTCGAACTCAGCTTCCATAGCAGCACACCAAGCCGACTTAGAGAGAGATCAATGCGATGATATGCTGGCTCCACCATAAACGCCCGGCGGCGATAGGGATCATATACCGAACTGTGCAATCCCGATACACATTGGGACGGGAGATAGATGTTGGGGAACGTAGCAAAAATTCAAAATTTTCCTATGTGTCACCAAGATCTATCTATGGAGAGACTAGCAACGAGGGGAAGGAGAGTGCATCTACATACCCTTGTAGATCGCTAAGCGGAAGCGTTCAAGAGAACGGGATTGAAGGAGTCGTACTCGTCATGATCCAAATCACCGGAGATCCTAGTGCCGAACGGACGACACCTCTGCGTTCAACACACGTACAGCCCGGTGACGTCTCCCATGCCTTGATCCAGCAAGGAGAGAGGGAGAGGTTGAGCAAGACTCCATCCAGCTGCAGCACGATGGCGTGGTGGTGGTGGAGGAGCATGGCAATCTTGCAGGGCTTCGCCAAGCACCGCGGGAGAGGAGGAGGACTTGGGAGAGGGGGAGGGTTGCGCCAGAACTTTGGTAAAGCTCCCATGCACCTCCCCACTATATATAGGGGTGGAGGGGGCTGGTTCCTTGCCCTCCAAGTCCATTGGGGCGTTGGCAAAGGTGGGAGGAAAGAAATCCCATCATTTCCTTCCCCACCGATTGTTATCCCCCCTTTTTAGGGATATTGATCTTATCCCTTCGGGGTATGATCTTATTCCTTCTAAGGGGGATTCTTGGTGCGCCTTGACCAGGGGTGTGGGGCCTTGCCCCCACTACCCACGTTCATGTGGGTCCCCCCATGCAGGTGGGCCCCACTCCGGAACCTTCTAGAACCTTCCCGGTAAAATACCGAAAATTCTCGAACATTTTCCGGTGGCCAAAATAGGACTTCCCATATATAAATCTTTACCTCCGGACCATTCCGGAACTCCTCGTGACGTCCGGGATCTCATCCGGGACTCCGAACAACATTCGGCAACCACATACAAACTTCCTTTATAACCCTAGCATCATTGAACCTTAAGTGTGTAGACCCTACGGGTTCGGGAACCATGCAGACATGACCGAGACGTTCTACGGACAATAACCAACAGCGGGATCTGGATACCCATGTTGGCTCCCACAAGTTCCACGATGATCTCATCGGATGAACCACGATGTCAAGGACTCAATCGATCCCGTATACAATTCCCTTTGTCTAATGGTATTGTACTTGCCCGAGATTCGATCGTCGGTATACCAATACCTTGTTCAATCTTGTTACCGGCAAGTCTCTTTACTCGTTCCGTAACACATCATCTCGCGATCAACTCTTTGATCACATTGTGCACATTAGGATGATGTCCTACCGAGTGGGCCCAGAGATACCTCTCCGTCACACGGAGTGATAAATCCCAGTCTCGATTCGTGCCAACCCAACAGACACTTTCGGAGATACCTGTAGTGCACCTTTATAGCCACCCAGTTACGTTGTGATGTTTGGTACACCCAAAGCATTCCTACGGTATCCGGGAGTTGCACAATCTCATGGTCTAAGGAAAATATACTTGACATTAGAAAAGCTTTAGCATACGAACTACACGATCTCTGTGCTAGGCTTAGGATTGGGTCTTGTCCATCACATCATTCTGTTGGGGAACGTAGTAATTTCAAAAAAATTCCTACGCACACGCAAGATCATGGTGATGGCATAGCAACGAGAGGGGAGAGTGTTGTCCACGTACCCTCGTAGACCGTAAGCGGAAGCGTTAGCACAACGCGGTTGATGTAGTCGTACGTCTTCACGATCCGACCGATCCAAGCACCGAACGTACGGCACCTCCGAGTTCAGCACACGTTCAGCTCGATGACGATCCCCGGGCTCCGATCTAGCAAAGCTTCGGGGATGAGTTCCGTCAGCACGACGGCGTGGTGACGATGATGATGTTCTACCGGCGCAGGGCTTCGCCTAAACTCCGCGACGATATGACCGAGGTGGAATATGGTGGAGGGGGGCACCGCACACGGCTAAGGAACGATCCGTAGATCAACTTGTGTGTCATGGGGTGCCCCCTGCCCTCGTATATAAAGGAGGGAGGGGGGAGGCCGGCCGGACCTTGTGGGCGCGCCAAGGAGGAGGAGTCCTCCTCCTAGTAGGAGTAGGACTCCCCCTTTCCTACTCCTACTAGGA